TTTTCTAAGAATAGATGCCACTTCTACCAATAAGTCTGCAGCTTCTCGCTGCTGTTCACCAGATGGTAGGAGCCAGCAGACGCTGAGTTTGTTCCCTTGTGGTCAAACAAACTGCTCTACAGCCCAATGCATGTTTCCTGAAAGATCCTCACGACAGCTCTGTTACCTCTGTTAACGTTTCCCAAGCTCCTGGTACAATATTGAGGTTTTCCACTGGAACCACCTGGCACATTGTCAGAATCTTTCCTGAGGGATGAAGTTACTCAATCCTCTTCTTACTTTGTTGTAGGCTTTGTATTGGTCACTTGTCCTGAGAGTCTGTGGGCTGTGTCCTGAGCTTCAGCTAATTACATAAAAAGGATTATTTCCTTTTCTTGACACTTGTTATTATTTTCATCCTTCACGAGCCTTTTCTTCTGTTTCAGGAACAACATTCTGTGGTAGGCCAGGGAGCTGGCCCCACTCCAAGCTCCAGTTCTTGCTCAAATCCAAACACTGGAAGTGGTTACATGAACTCATCCCAGCAATCATTGTTGAATCAGCAGCTGATGGAAAAGAAACAGGCTCTGCAACGGCAAATGATGGAGCAAAAACAACTCCTTCTACAGCAGCAGATGTTGGCAGAAGCTGTAAGTTTACCAATTTCTTATTTTACATGGAAAATATTGTCATAAAAGCAATAGAAAAGAAAGATTAGACAGGGAGAAGAAAGGCCCCTAAAACTTCAAGGTTGTTTTGGCAGTGCCTAGAATTTCAAGAGTGTGCCTTGTATTTTTCAGCACTTTTCTAAGCCTTTTTGAAACCTTTTTCAACATGTACGGAACAAGTTTCCAAACTACTGCAGTTTCATTACAAGAACAGTCCAAGCATATGCTTGGTTTTGAGACATATGAATATTGTCCATGATTTTCCTTGCAAGATAAACCAAGGGGCACTGCTAGGCTACTTTCACCTCAGAGGAAAGTTTACTTCCAGGATCTGTCACCAAGGCAGCATAGTGTAAAATGCCTGTGTGTAAACCAGGATCAGGTGCCTTGATTTTGGGATTCAACACAAGTTTGTGTGCTTCGCTGGGATCACATATGAATCCTACATTCTCTGGTTTTATTTTTGCATTTCTAGGTATCTGTAGCCAGTTCTCTGTCCTTTGGTATCTGAGAGACTAGGTGGGAGTTTCTGATCATTTTAGGAGACATGGGGGATTCTATAAAGGAAATATTTCTTGACTTTTTGATTCATGCAGAAGAAAAAAGAAGTTCAAAGTCAGCTCTCTGTGCTGCAGTTTTCTGTCAGAATTTTTAGCTGAACAAAATCTTGATTTTGTTCTTGATCTCAAATAGCTTCTTTTAAACAAAACTGAAATTTAATCAGCTTGGCTTTGCTTTTGTATTGTGTGCACAGAAATATACATAAAGCTTGCCTACAGTTTTTACATGAATTGCAGGGATTTCATGGGAGTCTGTCTTCCTCACAAGGATTCAGGTTGAGCAGGATATAAAAATAAACCTTGCAAATCCTAATCAGATCCCTCCCTCCCATCATGAATTGTGAAGATGCTGTAAATAACACGAGGGGTCTTCTCCCAGTGTTTTTAAGTGCTCCTGGGAGAAGAAATTTGTCATTGCAAGCCCCCAGCCAGGTAATAATTGGCATTGAGTCCATGATTCTCAGAAGGCCAATCTATCACTTTATTATACTATATTTATTAAGAAACCCATCACACTCACAGATTGTCACAATACAGGTGGATCCAATTGGTCCTTCAATCTCAACACCATCACCATTGGCCAGTTAAGAAATCACCCTTTGGTAAGCAAATCTCCATAACACATTCCACATGTTCACAACACCAGGTGCAGCAAGTGAAGACAAAAATTGTTTATCATTCTTTCTCTGGTCTTCTCACATCCTTCCCTAGGACAATGCCTGGGAAAGTCTGTGCTTGCTCTCTGTGGCCAGAGAGCTGCTGCCATAGAAAATACAGATTTTTCACTAGAAAGTCCATATGCATGCTGGTTTTTTTTATCCCCAGATTACTCCAATGGACTTGCATCATCAGCCAGGGCCTTTTTCGCACTGACAAGCTGATTTGCCAGTCTGGCAGTTGTGCCCAAAACCTGTGCACATTGCAGAAGAGGTGTGATGCTGTCCCAGCAGCTGTCTAGTAAAGGCACATGTGCACCAAAGTCACAATTTCCGTCCATGGGGGCACTTATTACAAGGAACCAGGTCTCATGGGTGAGCAGTAGCACTCTGGAGGCATCAAACCACACTGATGCTGATGAGAGATTTGGCATTGACTCTATTGCCTGCTCTTTCCAGATCTTTTATGAGCACAGGGCAGTCAGTCAGATTTCCATTCAAGGATTTGGATTTTTATCTTCCTCTCACCAGAGACATGCTGCTGGCAAGCTCAAAACCAAAAAAATCTCCCCAACTAATATTTTTTTTCCTGGAATCTTTCCTTGCTGTCCTTGCCCCAGCAACTGGGAGTTCTTGTACTCCCCATGTAAGAGGAAAGACAGCACCTTGTAAATGTGCTGCACAGGGCAATGTTTAGTGGCATGGAAACAGCCAGCCCAGCACCATCCTTGCTAAACCATGTGTCCTGCTGGTATCCCTACTGAGGAGAGCTGGGGGGAGAAAAAGCAAGGATTTTGCTGGGTTTTGTGGTCACCCCTCCAGTGTCAGAAGGCAGAGTGAGGGAGGGATGGGCATGGCTGTGGATGAAGATGAAAAGCTGAAATTGGAATACGCTTTGTACTGCAGTGCAGACATGGACATTGCTCTCAGAGGCTGAGAGGAAAGTTGAACCAGACTCAAACACAATGCAACCAGCAAAAAGATTTCCATAGGTGATGGCACAGTTTCACAAGTGACTGTCCTGTGGACCAGACAGAGTGAAAGGAAGAAATACTTCAGTTTTGTACCTACTGAGAAAAGAGAGAGACTGGCAAATCACAGATGCAGGAAAGCATAAAGAAAAGCAAATTAATGTAGTTCTACTCTAATCCTCTAGGAGAAAATAACTCCACAAGACCAGCTGAACAGACACTTGACAAGACCACCACCAGATTATAAAGACCAAAGAAGGAATGTGGTCAACATGCAACAAGCAAACCAATATCCTGGTAAGTACCCATGGGCTCAATGCAACTCTTTGCTTTCTTCCTTCCTTCCAGATGGAAGGCCACCTGGAAGAGCCATGGATGGGATGACTGGGGCATGATTTTCTGGATATCTGCTTCGATCACTGCAGAGGCAGTGAGGGATGGCTGCTGCCTTCCTGTGCTATTTACTTCACTGTCCTGCACCACTGAGAAGTGCTGGTGTATGATCTGTGCTTCATCCAGGCTGACACGGCCTCTCTCAGACATGGGGATGGAGGAGTTGGTACCCCTCCCATTAGCACTGTCTGGGACAGATGTGCACCCAAATACCTGATGCAAAGATGTCCTCTTGACTATGTAATCTCACTGTGTTCAGATGCTTCTCTCACATATGTGCTGCATCTTAGCTCAGAGACTGAGATGAGAACCATCCCTCCCTTCAAATGGCAGTTCATGTACAGTGTGAGGACCCTCATACAGATTTTTAAGTACCCCACATGGCACCATCATGGGTGGTACTTTTGGTCTGTTTAACAGGCCATGGTTGTGGCCTTAGTGCTGCTCTACAAGCAGCATTTCAGCAGATCAGGCAAACAGTAGATCAAGAGCTTTTGCTTTCTGCCAGAACTGCCCAGGCCAGGAAATGCCCAACACTTCAGCACTAGCCCTTCGCTTCAGCTCTTGTGCCCTGACCTCCTGGGACAGTCTAGTTTTTGAAGCACAGGATTGTTTGTTTGGCTTTTCCTACTGTTAACCTTGCTGGATGGCTGAAGGCCACTCAGAAAGCAAAGTCAGAGTAAGGAAAAAATGCTGAGGAGAGAGAAGGTGGGAGAAATATAGCAGATGGGACCAAAAGTGATTGTGTATGCAAGTATAAAAAGAATTCTTTGCCTTCAAGTCTATTTTTGTATGCAACATGCTAAAGAAAAAAAAGAGGTTGGTTCTTTTTGTTTCTCCATAATTGTTGGATTTGCAGATTCAGCCAGTGATCTGAGCCTTTCCTTCTTACTGTCCTTTACAGCACAACTTTTTCAGCTTCTATTATTATTTTAATGAGCTCTGAAGTGCAGCTTACTCACGTGCCACCCCTCTGCCCAATCTGCTGGCTATTGGGACACCCAGCCCAGCTCTGTAGGGATGGGCTAGGTTGGGCTGCTCAAGCAGCATTCATGTACTCCTTTGCTCTGCTTACAAGTTCTAGCAGTGATAAGCTTGCTGCAGCCTGGAAACTGCTGCTTTCCAATGGACCTGGGTGTTAATCTTCTCCAGTAAACTGGCTCAAGCATCCCAGTGTAATAGCCCACAGTGAGAGCCCTGCTCGCTAGCTTGGTACCTCCTGTACTTCCAAAATAAATGTTTTGGCAATCCCAGCAGTTTGTTGAGGAATCTTGTGATTTGGTGTGTTGTTTAATGGTTTATTCCTGGAACCAAATGATTAACTGAGACTCTTGGCTTTTACTTAAAAATAATCCATTTATTTCTAGCCTGAGAGAGAAAATGGAAGCGAGTGCAGTCACATGTGTGAAAGGCTCCAAAGTGAGTAGATCACTGTTGTTATGTGGCGGCTCCTGTTGTTGTTAATCTGATGGAGTCTTTGCCAATATTGTGGTATTTGGAGTCCCATCTCCTCGGATTGAAACATGTGGGAATGGTAGCACTTATCCATTCAAATCTCAAGTCCCTGCTGAGTGAACCCCAGGAGAAAGGGGCAAGCCTTGGAGAAAGGGCTGTGCTGGGAGCTTCCAGCAAAGCTACCAGAGGGAGTGATTAGGAAACTCTTGCATAAGGGAGTAACAGTAGGGAAACTGTTCCCTTTTTCTGGGAATAGCTTTGCTCAGATCAGGGAAGAAGAAACAAAAAGCTAAATAAAATTGCACAAGCCGGAGAAACTTGGTTGAGTATTTTATTTCTCTATACTTTTCCTCACAGTGCCATGCCATGGCAAGAAACCTCCAAGAAAGGAGCAGGTGAATTGGGTAGGGAAACTTTGTCTAAATTGCCATAGCCTGGGGTGCCCAGCTGCTGTACACAGTGCTTCTGGGGAAGGCATTTCTTCCCATCTGTAAGAAATAAGAATGGAAAATACTTGGGTTAAAAATAAAACCATAAAAATAGCAAAACAAAGAAAGATGAAGCTTTGTCTTTTGGCAACAAGTACAACCCCTTCCCAAACACTTGTGTTCTTTAAAAAGTGTAGCATTTGCAAGGGCAGTGTGATGGTAACCCTGGGATCTCCTCAACAGCTGACAGGGTCACCCCAGTGGCAATGAAGTGACAAATCTACAAACTTGTTGAAGCTACAAACTTGTTGTTCAGCTGGAGGGAGAGAACCATCTCTTGAAATGCCACTGAATTCTGTACCATTCCTCCTCTTCAATATGGCCTCATGGGAGCTAAAAATCAGGGACCCATCCGTATCATCCCTGAAAAAAAATGACAGGATCACAGAAAGTTTTGGGTTGGAAGGGACCTTAAAGATCATCTGGTTCCAAACCTTCTGCCATGGACAGGGACACCTGTCACTAGACCAGGTTAGTCAGAGCCCCATCCAACCTGGCCTTGAATACTTTCAGGGATGGGACATTCACAGCTCTTTCACTAGTCCTGTGTTTCACCACCCTTGAGTAAATTTCTTCCCTATGTCCAATCTAAACCTATCCTCTGTCAATTTAAAGCAATTCCCCCTTGTCCTGTCACTGCATGTCCTTGTAAAAAGTCACGCTCTCTCTCTCTCGTAGCCACCTTCAGGTGCTGGAAAGTACCAGATCACCTCAGAGCTTTCTCTTCTCCCACCTTAACAACCCCAGATCTCTCAACCTGTCTTCATAGGGGATATTACAGTTGTTCCAAACATGCACAGCCCAGCAGCAAAGCCAAAGATGGGGCTAATCATGTGGTTACCAACTGAGCACTGATTGTGGGAATGTGATTGTCCCTGCTGGGCTAAAACCAGGTAGACTCCCCATAGCATATCCTGTCCCAGGGGCTGCCCAACTCAGGGACTGAATTTAGGTACTTGAGTTAGGACAACACAATTCTTAGGATAATTGGAGCCTGTTTGTGGAACAGGCTGCCTTCCAGGATAGGGGGAGCTTCTTAATTTAGGTGTCTATGTTTATATTGATGTGAAACAAGCACTCTGGTTGTGGAGTCACACTCAGTGTTAATAATGATTTGGGAAGAGTTGTTTTTTTTTTAAGTCCTTAAGGAAAAAAATGCATCCTTTGCATCCATTACTAAGTGGAAATAGTATATGTATAAAAATAATGCAGAAAAAGCATAAATATACAATTTTTTCTTTGGTTTCAGTCTGTGGGAGCTGAACATCATTATGGCAAAATTTTAACAGGAACAGTATAATAAACAGCTGTTCTTAAACATAGACTTTTTAAATATGTATGCTCATGACTTGTCCAAAAGAGTTTTAAAAGAGCTGGCTGAGAGGTTCTCCGAATTCTTAGTGTCACCTTTTATTTAGTCTTGAAACACCAAGGGAGACTGCTAATGCCATGATAAAAATTAAAAGTCTAAGTAGGTAATAGCAGCTCTAGTAGCCTAATGCAGAGCCAGCAAATCTACTGAGGAGAAGATACAGCCCAAATAATAAAGAATTTATGAAGGGGAAGATGTAATTAATTTCAAGCAACATGAGCTGATGTTAGAAGAATCTTTCCAAACTTGCATGGTATCTCTTTCAATGAAACCACAACTTAGAGGCAATAGTTGTTCAGGTTATGTGTCTTAAAGCATCTGACTTCTTACTGCCTATTTTGATTAAGAAACCTGAGCGACACACAATTAACATAGGTCAAAAGGAAATGGCTGACAGGTCTCCAGATACCACTGTGAGGAGGCTGTGTGATTGAAACTGGATAGGCAAATATTGTTTGAGATGATGCTGAACTGGAAAAATAGAGCTTACTTTACATCCACATTGGAGATGTGCAAAAGTTATTACTGTGACCAGCCATGATATACAGTTCTGAAATCAAACATCAAAACCTGTCAAGTTCTGAGAGGAGCTCTAAAGGACCAAAGGACTGGAAAAACATGCCACACTCTGAGACTGAAGTATTTAGAGAATGCTGCAAGCATGACAGAGTCTTGAAGCAGTGTGTAGTAGGAAGGAATTTATGATGGACCAACTAATAAATTTAATCATGCAGACCAATATATAATAAGATTTGGTGATTAAGCCGAAGTTAGTCAAATTCCATCTGGTTTTGCCATATGTACAAAGGATCAAGCCAAGGCAGTGTCTCATGCCCAGCAATTTCTTTTAGTTACACCCTATGAAATAGCAAATCTCCTTCCTCCTCTGGGAAAGGCTCAGAGAATTCCTGAAATGCAGTGGTACCTTGGTAGCAAGCTCATTTGACAGTTTTTCTCACACTTTGGGGGCCACCCAAAGATGTGTGAGAATTTAGCTTCTACTGTGCCATGTGGCACAGATTTCCTCAGCTGACCCACACATTGTGTGAAGAAACATCTCCTTTCATTTGCCTTGAACCTGACTTTTTCAAGCTGTGCTTCTTGTAGGGTTTCTACTGGAAGCAACAGTAGCAAAGGGAATTACACTGTGGAGCAGCTGATTGTGTACCGAGAGTGTTCTCTACAGTGCCATCTACACTGGCTGTGTTTAAAAAGTGGTTGGTCTTTTTCAACCATTCTCTCAGGGACTAATTTGGTCTCGCATTGCATAAGCACTCAGACCTCATGGTGTAAATGACCTACTGTGGCCTCACACTAGAGGCTATGTAGCCAAAGGAGTGGGCTTATTTTGAGGTTTGGCAGCTGAAGGCAAGAAAATCCTCTCTTCTTGTCATCCATTGGCAGATGTTAAGTACAGGAAAATCCTCCACTGGACAGAATCAGCCAGGAGTGACAAATTTGTGCTAACTCATAACTTGTCGTTTTCTGATGCACAAAAGGGGATGTTCAGGTGCAGCAAGTGCTGGCACATCATGTGTTGTTCCCTCACTGGCAAGTCTGTTACTGCAGGGGCAAATAGCCATAGCTCAGCTGGGAAGAGAGTTTAGAAAGGCCATGTGTGGGGCTCAGCAGGCACAGCATCAGGTCATGTCCTCGTGCCTGCTTGGCCACCGCGTGGGAGGACAGGTAAGTCACAGACTGGACTGAGCTCCTCTCCCGGCGTATGGCTGCAAATGTGTGAGATGCAGTCTTGGCTCCTGCTGTCATCTGGGACAGACATTCCCAGAAAAAAAGGATGGATACTGCTGCTGTAGGTGTCTAAGAAAGGTGGGAATGAAGCCAGATAAAAGTGCCTCTCACTCTCCATTGTCACTAAAGTCAGGATGAGCCATGCCCTGTAAGGAAAAGTTCTTGATCTCTGATCACTTAGAGAGACTTTGTCCTGTCTGATGTGTCTAGTGCTTCTGTGAAGGAAGGCAGGAAAGTCTTCTCTCCTACCCAATGGTTCTGTCTGTCCATCCCTGCTCCAATATTTCTCTTATAGTGAACACCAGTTTTGGCTTGTGCTCTCCTCTGAAGGGATGGAAAGCCCACAGATAGCTTAGTATAGACCAAACCACCCTTTGGATGATAGGCATCTTCAAGGCGTTGAGCAAGTTCATGTAAGTCCTCTTAAGAGCAAAATGTCTTCTTCAAGAAACTCTGCTCATAGAAAACTGGATTTTTGAGCTGTTGGTATTTGAATGACACCACATATTCATGCACCCACACTTGTTGTAACACTTCTGTTTTCTTCTTTCCAGGTGGTTCACCAGCTGTGAGCATGAGCTCCAACAACATGTCCTTATCCAACCCAATTTCAACTCATAGCATTATGCCCCAGAGCTCCAGCCTCATGTCCACCCCTGCTGGAACCCGAATGCCTTCTGTCCCTGCTGCTCGGAGTATGGGCTGCTACGGGAACCTTCCTTGCAACCAACCAAGCACATACAATGTGACTTCAGGAATGAATCAAATGCAGCCACACAGAAACCAAAATCAAGTTCTGCCCAGTCAGAATAACCCCGTGGTGTCTCGACAGCAAACCATGACACAGGGGAACAACGGGGCAGCTTTTGCGACGGGGTCAGTGGTCAGCTCTCAGCAAATAAGGCCAAGCTTGACCCATGGAGCGACAGGTATCCCTGCTCAACGGCCGGCCAATGTGATGATCACGGCTACTGCCAATGCCCAGAACTGGGCCCCACAGGAGGCTGCAGTGAAGCAGCAGGATGCACTGAAACCTGCAGGAGTCCGTTTCCCCACCGGCACTCCATATCCTAACCAGTCTTTGCAGCGCAGCGTAGGCAACCAGCATTTTCCTCAGCGTGCATTGGCACCTCCTAACCAGTTAACGGCGGGAGTCCAAATGAGGCCCCCTCTAAACCAAATGCACCAAACTCTAAATGGGCAATCTGCTGGCTCACTACGAGGGCTCAGCATAAGACCCAATCAGCTGAGAGGACAGACTGCGCCTACCTTGAATCAGCCAGGAACAAGTATGACACCGCCGTCATCTCTGCCGTCAACCGGTTTCACAAGTACCAACCAAACCTCCCGGGCTTACCAAGGAAGTGACCATGGTAATGACCTAGCGTTTGACTTTCTGAACCAGCAAGGTGACAGTATAGGACCTGCGCTCAACAGTGACTCAGATTTTATAGATTCTTTACTGAAAACAGAACCTGGTAATGATGACTGGATGAAAGACATCAACCTTGATGAAATTTTAGGGAACCACTCGTAAGTGACAGTACCAAGAGGGAACCAGATGAAGAGGAAGCAAGGACATTAGCTTTTTCTTTAGATGCCAACAACCTGCTTCATTAATTTACACTCCAGTAACTGGGCTGTCCTTTAAAATACAATATAGAGCAACTGCCCTGTTTGAAGAATAGCTCTAGGAACAAAACTGAAGTGACAGTGTAAGCGATATTCCTGCCTGCCACAAAGGAGTGAAAGCATGTGAAGGGTCTGGTCCCCACACCTGTGCCCAGCCCATTGCAAACTCATTGGTTCTTCTCAGAGGGGCTCCGGGAAAAAAATGTGTTCATCTTCCCATACATGGAAGCACCAGACAGTGGTATAGGCTGTGGAACATCATTTCTCTGAGTGCAAGTAAGACCCTAAGAGGTCCACAGCTCTTCAGTCATCATGTTCACAGCCCTTAACTTCCTTGGGACTGCTCAGCCCTGACAGCATCAAGCCCTGTGTGAATCTTATGGCATTACAAAAACTGTTTACTTCTGCACAGTACAAACTTACATTTGCTTTCCCAAAAGCAAGTGTTTTGTTATAAACAAAATGTTATAAAATGATTTTGTTATAAACCCTGTACCTTTTGTAGCACACAGCAGGGTAAGTGGTCTCATCCAAGGGAAGAAGGGAACAGATCATCCAGCATGTT